AAAAAAAAAAAAAAGAAAAAAAGAAAATAACTTAATGGTCTTTAAAATTTTCGCGGCACACCTAAGATTCTCTCGTAACACATAGTGTGCCGCGGCACACCAGCGGGAAACCCGAGCTGGAGTCTGAGCATCTCTACCGCTGACGAACTGGCGAATGTTCCCGAGCCCGTGCTGCATCCATTTCACAAAATGTAGATGAACAGCCGTTCTATCAACCAACATTTATCAAGTGCCTCTTATTTGCCAGAAATTATACCAGATGCCAAGGGCACAGAAATTAAAGGTGCTTTTTCCCTAAAGGATATTCAGTGGGAAACCCAGACAAGTCACCAAAGGAGAGCAGTGAGATCACCGACACATTGCACCGAGCAAACAAAGCCAGGTAGAGACGAAGCCCCAGCAACAGACACTCCTTATGCGTTAACTGGTCCATCTAGGCTCACAAGGCAGTCTGTGTCCTTGGATCAGGAAAAACTCACTGATCTGGCATCAGACCCTTCCTAAATGGAGTCAAGGATAGGAAGGACTTTCATGAGCCAAGTAAGCCTTCGGCAGAAACAACAAGCCACAGGCTCTCCCAGGAACACTTCCAAATCCTGAGTTAAGGTTGAGTTTACAACATCATCTCATGGCGCAAGTCTGAGCAGGGGAGAAGGAACATGGCAGAAAGATAGGCAGGTGTGGAAATGGATTTGCATAGGAATGGGGATCATGTACACAGAGTTCTTGATCTGACAGCGTGGGTGGTTCTCATATATGCAGCAAATTGTTGTATGGGCACACTGAACAACCTGCCATGTGAATATCATTTAGGATAAATTTTTAATTGATCATCACAAAATACCAGAAGAAATCATTGTAAGTAGTCTTAAAAGTACCTACATGTTTCACACAGATGACCATGGCATTCAAAAAATTTTGACCATGACAAAAATAAAAAACATCTTACATCATAACTCTCTGTAGGTACACGTACGTGTGTGTGTCTACACATAAAGTGAAAAATGCATAATTTTTATATTTAAAAAAATTATGTGAAAATACTTATCCTCATTACCTGCAAGCAAGACACTGTGATACGTCTAATATGTTTACTGTATTCTAGTAAAATAGATTCCACTCTATTCTAGTTGACATTCTCTCAAATGCTGGTTGCCACCATTAAGTTTAATTTGCAAGCCTCTAATGAACTATAACCTGCAATTTGAAAGACAGAGATATTGACTATAAGATTCATTTAGATTATCGAGCTGAAAATTATCCACTTCTCCCACTGAAGTGCTCACTTTTATCCTTTCTCTTTGCTATTCTTCATAATTCTACTGAAAGCTGCCTCCCAAGGGGCATGTGTCAGGGAGAAAAGATACCTGTATTCAGGACCAAATAACAGGACTGATGCTGAGGGTAAACCCAATTCTTCTCTGCCTAGAAAACATGATCTTAAATGGGTGAAGGAGAGCCAATGAGAGGCACTTATAAATAATAACACCTGCTGTCTGAGGCGCCAGGAGAACGGTCACCTGTATTATTTATTGTTTTTAAAATGAGAGTTTTGCCTAAAGTTAAAAAGTGTTTAGGTAGTAAAGGATCTAATAGCCCTGGCATTTTCTGTTGATCATTTTGCTTTTGTGGAACATTATAAAATGGTAATACATTTCATATATTCATATAAACTAAAAAATAGATAGTAGCAAAATATATACATAATATAAAATCATAAGCATGATTTTAAGTTAGAGAAACTTTGAGCACAATGGGCTGGAGAGTTTGATTAATTAATTCCCTGCCTGATCATTCATGCTATTATAGTCTGGCAGAGGTAACCTACATACCATTTGGGATGATAACTACATGGAAAATTTCCCATAGTTATTACAAATGTTGGCAGAGAATATTCAGTGACATTAGCCAGGAGGAGTCTCAGCATTCTTGTTGTCCAATTTGATTGGCAGGAACGGGTCAAATAGATGTTTTCACATTGGCCTGGACTGGGTTGTGTCTCTCCTCCTCAAGAGGAGTTGAATGGGATCCTTCCCATCAGAAGGCAGAGGTGGCTGAGGCCCAAAGCCAGAGTGCTCTGTGGACAGAGTATAAGCAGAGCTTGCGGACTCTCCAAATGGAGACTTAAATAATAAAGAGCAAGCATTGGCAGTGTCATTCACTCTCAGCGGGTGGGTTATATAGACCTGAATGGCAGAATCACATGTTCTTGATTTACCAAGGATGAGAGCTTAATAATTAAAATGCACTTGCAGTTTCCATACTCACCAGGTGAAAAGTTTCGGCAAATACAAATAAAGTACTTCTCTAGTGCCTAGCACATGTCTATAGGTTAGGTTAGCTCTCGGAAGAAGGGGAAAAAGATCAAGGATGTAAAATCTAAACATTAAAGTAAATGTGATAAGAAGAACGTGGATCGTCCAGAGGACATTAACAGAATGTGGGCAGTGTGGAAAGAAGCCAGGGGCTGGCTGGGGACTCCCTCGTTTCTGGGGAAGAGCGGCTGGAGCCACTGCCAGATCCTGTCCTGGGTGGACAATCCAGAGTGGTCTGCAGTGACTCGTGCTTGGTTACATTTATACAGTTACACGACTTCTGGTTGTCCCTAGTGTTCAGTTTATCAACAAGTTGAGTCTTCATAAGTGCTTAACCTTTATAACCCCCTGGGTATGGGGTTGGAAAAACACTTTGTTGGGAAGATATGTTACCCCAATGCCGATTTAGGCCTGAGACTGAGGCATGCTGTCCACCATTTATTTGCCAACCATTTGTAGCAGGCACCAAAAGTCAAAGAAAACAGATCAGAAGAATAATCCAACACTGAGAGTATTTGTACACACAAACTTAAATTTTCTTTGAGTCTGGGGGCTCTGTCTGTTCTACTTTCACTAGGTAAACAATATAGGGTTTAGTGCCTACTGTATTTATTTGACCAAGGCCTGGTTTCCTAAAACGGGTTTCTGTGGAACTTCTAGTCTCATGAAAGGCAAGGGTTCCATGGTCAAATAACAACCTGTATCATCCCCAGTGCTGACAACACACATGCACACCAGAGGTTCTGAGAATTCTTGTAGGAAAAAGACTGTTTCATTCAGGTTTAACCCAATTCACCTGATAACCAAATATGTTTGAGGGCTTTAAGGCTGCCGTTTCCTGACAATGTCATCTTGGAGAGAAACTCGTTCGTCTGTCCAGCTCCCTGTGCATTTGCTGGGCATCTCCCTAGTGCCAGTCTCTGTGCCAATGTGTTCACAAAAGCCTTGTGAGTCACTCGCACCAAAGCCGGGGATGGACACGAGAGGAGGACAGAC